TCACGAGTAGTAGGATTTTGGTTGTAATTCTGATAAGGCTTTCTTCCTAGTAGTTCACAAGCTACATAGTAGAGTCTAGTCCGGAAAAGCACCAGACGCGCTTTCGCCCTATTGGGGCTCGTCAGTGGTGCGCATTCCCTCGGTCCTCTAAGGAGGATCGAACCCATGACCGCTAGAAGCAGATGCCAACTAGCCAGCAGCTTAAGCCACTGAGCCACGGGGGACGTTGGCTGAACTACGTAATTTGCAAACCAACTGGGATATATCACCCCGTATCTTCCACTGTCACTGACAGTGATTAGCCTGCGAGATGATGACTTCATCTCGCTAGACGCTATATCCATAGCATTTGAAATTAGGAGAGGCTATTTTTAATTTATATTATTCACGAGTAGCAGGATTTTAGTTGTAATTCTGATAGGCTTTCTTCCCAGTAGTTCACATGCTACATATTAGAGTCTAGTCCGGAAAAGCACCAGACGCGTTTCGCCCTATTGGGGCTTGTCAGTGGTGCGCATCCCCTCGGTCCTCTAAGGAGGATCGAGGTTATGGGTTCGAACTTCCTTAGAGAATCGGGGGAAAACAGTGAGTTCTCGAACCAGCAATGCGCTACCACCTTTAAATAGAGCTGAAGGAAGAACATCAGGGCCGGGGGCTTTATAGCGCTTCGTGTGGCGGAGCTCCTGCTCGATTTTCTGTTAAGAGGGATGATCTGTGGGGGTAGACCACTCGGCATCAGTGCGAGCGCCAGAGATAGCAGATGGAGCTGGGGGCCAACAAAACTGCTAGCCAAAATGTTCGGCCCATCGCCCCAACTGTCATTGAAGATTGGTGATTAAGGTGTCATCCTTTTCGCATATTGTTTCATTTTTATCAGATCAAAAACCTTCGGTAACTCGAATGAAATGGCAAAGTTTTCTGGTATTACCAGAGAGAAAGAAACAGTCGATGATCAGAGCAAACAGCAAGCAGTCTGCCTCCATTGTCTGATCGGCTGCCACCTAGGTCAAAACTACCCCACAAGGTGGTGCTCGCTTGATGGAAGGCGGCCCACTCGTGCGTTAAAGTCTCCGGCCACGATGACCATATCAGTCCTTTTGGAGGAACGCAGAACTTCATGTATCTACTGGTAAAAGCTATCCTTGACTACATCTGGGCTGCACTCTGTAGGGGCGTTGGCGGTGACGACAAACAAGGCACGTTTAACGTCACGATGCCTGCTTACATTATATGAACCTCTTAATCGGACTGCGCATAGCCGACTGTTGACTGTGATCCAGTCAAGCAGAGCTGATTCAGCCCTGGCACTCTGCAACCCCAACACCAGCTTGGCCAGTGGCGGCGGCTTCTGGGTCTCCGAGAAGCCGCAAGTGGTATTTGGCCTCAGGGTTTACCGGATGGATCATTCTGATGATGGCGCTAGTCTCTTGTAATCTGGTCTGTGAAATTCAATAGATGTCTACCGAGAGCGTTTCAAGAGTACGGACCAGACATGCTTTCGTCCGATCTGCATCAAAGTTCGAACATTAAACGTTGCGAGGATGAATCGAGAACCAGATCGATGAGGAGCTAGAGCTTCGGTGGGGTGAGAGACGGTTGCGATCGCATGGCATTGGAAACCGGGAGTTTGGCTGTTATTTCCATAAGTTTCTAGAAGTGTTTCGTTTGTGACGATGACCGAAGAAGACGTAAGAGTACATATAGGTGAAGGATGGGAGGTGGGGTGATCTGTGTGTGGAGGTTGAGCAGTTTAGTTAGCAATGATAGGCATAGCAAGAGCAGTAGTAAGCAGTGTGGTCCATGATTCGTCAGCGGGCATGATACTACCCGGTTCCCCAGGCCGAAGTACAGGGTTGTCTTAGGGGCGCCCTACCCCGAGCCTTTGATCAAAGATCTAACCTACAAGGCAGTAGAGCGATGTGAGGGCGTCGCAACTCATTGGGAGCCGGTGACCAAGTAGATGGTTCATGCGCCTTTCGGTAAGTGAAGGACCAGGGGCCCAACACACCCTTAAAGTACAATGCCTCTCAGAGAGGGCAAATTGCAATGACTTTATTTACTGGCGAGTCACATCCGCCACGTCGCAGTTGTTAAACGGACATTTGTGGCTTTTTATAGGGAAAACCCACCATGTCATGTAACACTGCTTCCGAACGGTTTGCTAAAACAGGAAAATCCAATCACCCAGCTGGGATCACGAGGTGGTTGTTTGTTAAGCCAGCTCGAGCCGTATAGCAACAGCTCCAAACGCTTGTCCTAATCTTCGCTACTTATGGCACCGGCGCGATATCACTCTCACCCTGAAGAGTAGAACGTACGATGTAGCCGTACGTTGTGGAACCTGGCCCATTAGATCAGTATACATAAAATGGCTAGTTACGTTCGACCATCGGTGCCTTCGCAGTTTGGTTCATATTTGGTGGCAACACCGTGTGAGCAACTAGCGTATTCGACGCCTTGTTTATGTCATAGGAAGAATCGAACCGTTCAGCACCGTTACTTCACGCACCAGGCTCCGATGGCTCGGCCACGTGTTGTGCATGCCGGTCCACCGACTCCCGCGACGTGCATAGTTTGCGCGCCGTGGGTGCGGATAGAAGAAAAGGAGAGGTGGCCAAGCGATGAATTGCTTGAGAAGATTGAAGTCTGTCAGTTCTTAGCTGGTCTCGATTGGAGCATCTCGGCACCCTGGTTTGGGTCCGAAAGACGATGAACACGTTTGGCTAGATACTCTTGCTGATATCGCTAGGAGCCGACCTCATTGGCGTTCGTGCTGTAAGTTTCTTTGTCCCTCCCAGTCCCTCTTAGTCCCCCTCCAACCACGATCTCATTTATTAGTATAATATAATTTTACCTAATAATTTTTTGCGGCACAATGGACGGCTGGTAGGTTTCCGGAACGATGCCCACCCGTTACTGTTAGCTCAGCTGGCATTCACCTGTAGCATGTTTTTCTTTTATGTATTACGGCACAGTAGCTGAGATTTTTTCCACCTCTAGCTCACGTATATAATGTATGAGTGAATGTTTGACAAACGTTCCACCGCTTCATAAGGTCTGTTGATAACTGCGAATTGACTTGCCTGAGCGTTGATCTTTTGGTGACTCTATCGCATCTGAGTGATTCGAGTGCAGTGAGGTCCCGATGACATAATTTTTCACTGTTTTTATTACATAGCAGTGGCGCTTCTGATCCATAGAATCGCACTGGTCCCATTGCAGTCTTTTTATCAACAGGTTAGTATCTCGCTTCTATTTGTGCCCTAAGGTTTTACACCGCAGCATCAACTTCTGTCTATCCTTCAGCTATTCCATTTGTGTGTTCTGCGGCAATAACCCAACTACTGATACACCTGAATCGATTGTCCAATTTTAGCTGCTGTTCCTTAATCTTGTGTGTTTGGTGGCACTTTTGATTGGGCGAGGGATGTACGAAATGATACGCGTCACGCAGCTTAGATGATCGCATCGGTTGGCTCCCCACCCGGTTGTTTTCAACTGACAATGGAACAATGGTTAGTGGCAGCAATGTCTCTAGATATTTGGCCGGAGTACTTGTCAACTGTGATGTCCCATCAAACTCACAGTTCAATATTTCGGAGGCAGTGTCTTTAACTTTGACACGTTTGATCAAGGCATACCAGTGTTCTTGGTCGACATACCCTCTGTGCGGGCGGCGGTCACACTTGAGTCGGATCGGGCATCGCTGACTACTTACAACTTGCCCACGATGAATGTTAACGGCTTTTTAAATCCACTCTCCCCCCCCCCCCAACAACTCAGTGGCTGTTCAGTATGATACACTGCTGTTCACTAAACACCCAGTGCGATGCACCTCGGTATGCTCGCCCTTTTTTATTTCTCCACTAAGTGCACCGGTTACACTCTCCAGGCACAATGATTGAACCCACTTACTTAAGTGACTCCCCTGCTCACCAAGCGTTATATCCGTACCGTGTGTGCTAGTGAATGATATGCACGGCTTAGTTCCAGTTACTCAATCCTTTGCCATGGTCACCGTTCGCCCTTGTTACAATTTACCCATCTCTGTTCCAGCCTTCCTAGAGTCCTAATAAGTGCATATCTCATTCTTTTACTTTTCTGTGGGATGATATCACGGCGCGGCGTGTACGCCAATCAACTACGCACTGATGATGTCATCTCGATTGGTGACCAAGCGTTTGCAACAAAATTACCAAGCTTAGCGAACAGTTCAACCGCCAATATTATCAATGTACATTCCCTCGGATAGATAAGGAATCTTTGCCACACCTACAGACTGAAACACTTAATATTCGCTGTACCCGAGCAGCGACGAATTTGTGACCTAGAAGGAAGACAGGCGTTATAATTTACGCACCAACCATGATTGTTGAAGGCCACTTTCCGGCCGTGTGGTCTGGTAGTCGAGGTTGACTGCCTTTCCGCTTCCACTCGGTTTTCGCCTGCTCCACAAGGATTTTAACTCGGTCACCTTTTTGCGTTATGCTGCTATCATTCGGTTTAGATCCATGACAAATGACTACTTTGGGATTATAACATTTCGGTGATATGGCCAACGTGTTTGCTATCTATTGTTTCACAAAGCCACAATTCGAATCAGAAAACCTGCAGCTCTTGCTTCATTTTCTCACCTTTTTCTTTGAAACTCTGAAACTATTCAAAGTGAGGACTTGAGTTATACATTAGCCGTCTGATTCATCGGAGACATATCAAGCCGATTCGCACAAATTTTACTTTATTTTGTCTTCCTAAGAAGGCATACGGCTTGTAACTTGACTTGCCTGAGCTCGGCAGTCTTTGTGTTTCAAAGTGTGATCAGTCCAGCCACACTCCGTTAGACGGCCATTGCGATGTATGCGAGATATTTCTGTTTACAAATCGATAAAGTCATTGTTAAACACCCTCCTGTCCATCACATGTTTCTGATCCCCCTTTTTCCCGCGGCCCGCACATGGTCTGGTACTAACTTGTTCTTTCGACCCTTTGCTCTTCTGCAGCCGGTGTAGTCGTGTTCCTCCCATCTTATGATTACCAGCACACAATTTGTGCCCACTGGGAGTCCACCGGGATGATGGACAAATTAAGCAGATGTAAACGCACCTTTCGCGAACCAAAGAATTCAGGATCGCTGACTCAGGTAATCTTCACAGTTTTTATGGTCTTGCGTTTTTGCCAGGTTTCACAACAGTGGGAGTTCATGTGAGAATTGCATACGAGAACCTTCTGTATTGACAGTCTTGGACGCCCGGTGCAGACCTCACTAAATCTTATGCTGCCGGATGCAGAATGGGGCTGTATCATTGGTGTGCTGCTCTATCTGTCATGAGTGAATTTAACCCCTCTAGTTACGGTCGTGAAAAAGCAGCTTAATTCCACACATACTCTGGCGCGCACGCTCGGCAGGTGTAGGTATGCCGATTGCTCAGTGGGTCGCTATCCTGGCTTTATTTCCTTCAAAGTTTATTTGCCACACTTATCTTTCTGGCTATTCGACCCGGTGTCTGAATTGAACCTCGTCTGCTGAGTGCTTTATCTATCTGCGTAAATTTGTTAGCCTGTACACCCCCCGTCCGAAGGAATTTTGAAAACAGACATCAACGTCATCTCATGTTGATCGTTTCTCCTGGGACCATTCGCACATATGGCCACTAGTGGAATCCGTCCGTCCGCGGCCTGTGCATGTTGCCTAAGACCGTTCTGGGGATATATGTCACTCAGACCAGCCTGTCCTGTTGTTAGTTAAGTGCAGTCCCTTGAGTTTCTGTCTTCTCTTTGAGTCTAGCTTTATCATTAGCATGCACCAGTGAATCACTCTACGTATGAAAGTCGATAACTCAGAATGGACACGCGCACATTTGTGTGAATGCGGACAGTGCATTAAATCCGATACAGCGCACCCCCTCCGCATTTGCGTAGGATATGCTGCAGGAGGATGCTGGGCCCTATTACAGTCAGTGAACCTCCTCTCTCAGATTTTTACGGACTTACTACGGGTGTAAAATCAGAAACTTTTTATCTCGCTACCACTTGTGAAAGTCACGATTCGTCTGCAGTATCGATCGGGTGTCGCGTAACCGCCAAACTCGGATCTGTCGGATTCAGCACTACAGGCGTAAAAGAAGGACTCTTTATGATCCGGCTGCTTAAGTGTTGACTTTGTAAGTCCCAGTTGTGCCATTCACAGCGCATGTTTCTGCGAACTGACTGTGCAACCTGCAGTCATTTTTCATTAGGTTGTGTGGTCCTGGTTTCCTTGTGCACAAATCATTGATAGATATCGCCATACGAAAAGCAGGGGGATGAGTGCTTGGAAAATACAAACATTCCTCCACCATGACTAGAAAACAGCTGACACAATCCAGTCATTTGATTTAGGAGCGTTTGCTCAGTCGAATGTGTTATTGAATGCTAAGGAAGATGCGTAGACCTTACCACATGTACCAACCGGACCATGTTGGTAGCTACGTCAGCAGACTACCTGTTGGAACTGTCGGCATTGAAACCGCATCTGTCCCATGAACAAATTATCTGACTCATCAGAAGCGCTTATCCGCGTGACACGTTTGCGAGCCAACCTTGTCGCACTAAAGGCCCATCTCACTCTCCCACTACCACACCACAAGCAACGCACATATGCTGTGGCCCCCTGAATTCGTTGCTCGATTTAGTATTGACGGCATTCATCACAATGAGACACTATTTGCCCGTACGTCAAATTATCTCACTCAGTGTTTGGGAAATCGCATCCGTTCCTTTTCAGCTATTTTGTATCCTCAAGATTTGTACTTTTCTATATGAATAAGAAATCTTGATAGCTAATGTTTGGTGCATTACCGTGTCTGAATCAGACTGGTAGGTTGTGATCTTCATGGCAAATCAATTAACTCAGCACTCGGTCACACTTAACCATCTTTCAGCCCTATTAGTTTTCCTATCACCTTTTTACTTTTAGATCATGCAAGCATACAAAGCCGCTGCTACAAACGACAAAACAGGTGCCCTGCTAATATGTGTGATCGGAGGCAAACTAAGTGAAGGTATCAATTTCAGCGATGATCTTGCACGTTCCGTGATCCTCATTGGTATGCCGTACCCAAACCCACGATGCCCCTTGGTGAGTATCTCGTGAACAGCACCCTCATCACCCATCCCTCGTAAGCCATGTATTGATTTCATTTTGATACTCCAGTATACTTAACTTGTTCTATGAGCTCTGTGATGATCCCTCATGCAGTGGCTGCGGTTTTTGGTTCGCAATCCGGGTCTGCGTGGACCGAGTTATCCCGTAATCTCTTAACCCGCGTAAGATCACTTGCGGATGCAAAGCTACAACAGCAGACTGCATTCAGTTTGTTTTGCGAATTCGGAACGTGTGGCTCCACACGCCACAGATCTTCAGTGGGATTTTTATGTCGTTCTTCTTTTCTGTCCACCACATGAGGACACGCATGTCGTGACTGTAGGCACGAATGCGATATCTCGTTCAGCTTGTCTTTACTAAAGTCTTTAGTCCTCTCAACGATCGATTACTATTGACCCCTTATTTCCTCGTGCATTGTTCGGCCGGTTGTTTGATAGCTGAATTAGTCTTCGAAGACAGTCATTTTGATGCGCCCAGTGATGAAACCACTTTGGTTCTTTACTGAAGCAGGTAGACAACAATGAAGAAAGCGGTCTTCTCGTCCTTAATTGAGCATCTGGTCTGTTTGTCTGGTTGCACTTGTCTAACACTTCATACGGACGACGGTGCACCCTCCCTGTGTGATTCGTTTCCGAGTCAAGACAGGATGTAACCCATTCAGGATAGACTAACATGCGGACGTACAGTTCGCCCCGTGCAATGGGACACTGGGGCACTAGCCACTTGTGGCGCGACGTTTATGTATGTGGAATCCCCTCGACAAGGCACCTTGTTGGTCTTGGTAAAGCTGCGGACGTGCATATCCCACCAATTGCCCCTGTGTGTCTTATGTGCGCTTGTTAATTATGACCTACTAATGGCCAGTTGAATGGCTTCAAGTGCTGATTGGCACAGCCTAACGCATCTGTTGATTTGATCAACTTAGGAGCGTGCTGGTATTTGTAACGTGAATTTCCTTGAAGCTGCTTCCCTCTGCCGTACCTTAGTATCAAATTGGACTGCTTGCTCCGCTCGTGGATTGCGAGATGAAGAGAGCTAAATTCAGAGACGTTTGGGAACAATCCACTGGTAATTGTCCCCAAATCTCTTTGATCCGATGACTTCTCCATCGGTTCCAAGCATATTCCACGATGGTGAAGAGAGATAGCATATTTTGGGCACTCTACGAGTAGAGCAATGTGAAAGCCGCATCATCAAGTTGGTCATAGCCTCCGTCCACCGGGTCTGCGTATCTCCATTGATCCGTTGCGCAGTAACTAAACAATCCTACTTTTGTTTTCTCCGGGTCTCTTGTCCCTTTCACCTGAGTTCCACACAATGAAGCTGATCCTTGACAAACAATACCCCGAATACCATCCCATGTCCTATGCACACCCTGCAAGTTTATCAAGTGGTCGCAGAGGGTTCTTGCTGAAACTCAACTGTTCCTAATGTGTCTCATGTTTGCTGGAGGTAGGTGGTTGGGTGAGTTCGGTTTACGATGAATCTACTCCCGATTGCTTATCACCCGAGGTCGGCGATCAGAATAGCTTGCTCAGCTCCGCCCGTTTTTATGCGCCAACTCCACCACTGGCCTCAGAATCATTCTCTTTTATTTCTGTTTTTGATAAGCAGGTTCAGAATTAAGAAGGTTCATATTGCTGTACATTTATCATTCACATGATGTAATAACTATTAACTGACATCCTCACATGTCCCATCTTAATCCTTGTTCGCCCCAGCTGCGAGAAAAAATGGCTTATTTGGATCGGACGTTCAGTAAATCGAACACCTCCCTTGGTTCTATCAGCCCTGGACGGAGACACTACGAATCGCTGTGCATGCGCGCAATCAATCAGGCGATTGGACGTGCTGTGCGACATGTGAACGACTATGCTGCGGTATTCCTTGTAGATAGTCGATTTGCACAAGCGAATATTCAAAAGGCACTACCTGGCTGGGTGCTGGAGAGTCTCCGAATGTGTATCGCAGCTCAGAGCGGCTCAATAGACTTTGAGAATGCATTGAGGCATTTGAAACTATTTTTCGCTCATCTAAGGAGCACTTAGATTTAACTTTGGTTTGTTATATTTTTCTAATCCCCGGTACCCATTTTGTACATGCTTTTGTGAAGACTTTTTCAAAACGATAACTTGTATTTTACACTCACTCACTTTTACTGTGCTGCTTTTACTGTGCTGATTTTCGCAATAAAAGTCGTTTGTATAGTCGATCTATCTCATCTGTATGTTCCCACAAACTGTCATCGCTTATTGACCATATATGACTGCTCTTCGTCAATCACGATCTTGATGAACGGCCTCCATTGTGCGTCATGCTGATGAATGCTTTTCAGACATGTTGATATCCCCTGCTCCGTAGTCGGATTCAAGATACAGATCCTGTTTCAAGTTGACCTTTGTTTTCAGCTTTAACAGTTGGTGGTAACCGTTTACAGATCATATTCCGGACTCGTTTGTTGGGGAAAATAGGTCATTGGTAACGCTTGGCATTGAGAGGTGGGTCCTTCCAAATCTTCCGAGATTTCGGTCGAGAACAGGCTTAGTTCCAATTAGCCTCTAACTCAAACAGAAGTGAGCGCTCCAAAAACATGTGCACCAACATGGAATAGCTACCCTGAGACCTTTTATGCATCTATATTTGCCGTCTGAAATCTTCCTCTCAAGTGAATCCGATATGGTAAGTGAGCGCATACCAAAAGGCGACTTAAGTCGTTCAGCAAGTAAGCTGATTGGTTGCTTCAGGGAAAGTAAAATCTCTCAAGCAAACTCGTTATAGGTAGAAATTCGTCACATCTAGACTCAGTCGCAACTCGACTGTTGCCAGCCCGTGGTTGAGACCACCGAGCTACGGGGGACGGCAACGACAGTCGTTAATAAGTTACTAGATGTGATATTGCGCCGCTCACTATCCACTGACTTACACGTTACCGCCGTGCAGAGGGCAGGGTAGCTCCATCACCAAGCGACGAAGTTACCAAACTTAAGCCGCCAATTAACTTATGGCATCATAAGCAGTTTGGTCTGAGTTCTGATTACATAGGAGTAGTGGGGGAGTTGAATAGTATAGGTAGAAATTCCTCACATCTAGACTCACTCAGACAGCCATCACACGCCCAGAAAAGCACTGTACGCGCGTTTCATCCTTCCGGGAATCGTCAGCAGTGCGCATTCCATCGGACCCTGTTAGGACCCGAACCCGCAACTCGATTGTTGCCAGTCCGTGGTTGAGACTACTGAGCTACGGGGGACGGTGAGGGGTCTACCTTGTCCTCTGCTGGGTAGTAACGTGCAAGTCAGTGGATAGTGAGCGGCGCTATATCACATTTAGTAACTTATTCACGATGGTCGTTGCCGTCCCCCGTAGCTCAGTGGTCTCAACCACGGACTGGCAACAGTCGAGTTGCGGGTTCGGGCCCTACCAGGGTCCGATGGAATGTGCACTGCTGACGATTTCCGAAAGGATGAAACGCGCGTACAGTGCTTTTTCGACGTGTGACGACTGTCTGAGTGAGTCTAGATGTGAGGAATTTCTACCTATACCATTCAACCCCCCCCCCCATTACTCCTATGTAATCAGAACTCAGACCAAACTGCTTATGATGCCATAAGTTAATTGGCGGCTTAAGTTTGGTAACTTCGTCGCTTGGTGAAGGGGCTACCATGTCTTCTGCACGGTAGTAGCGTGTAAGTCAGTGGATAGTGAACGGCGCTGTCACATCTAGTAACTTGTTCACCATGGTCATTGCCGTCCTCCGTAGCTCAGTGGTCTCAACCATGGACTGGCAACAGTCGAGTTGCGGGTTCGGGCCCTACCAAAATCCGATGGAATGCGCACTGCTGACGATTCCCGAAAGGATGAAACGCGCGTACAGTGCTTTTCCGGCGTGTGACGGCTGTTTGAGTAAGTCTAGATGTGAGGAATTTCTACCTACAACATTCAACTCCTACTACTCTTCTCTAAAACTCCTTATCTTACCAAGACAACAATTTGGGCTAATAATACTTAGCAGAAGCATTAAGTCCCTACAAGAAAGTTCCAGTCCATCACGCGGTGTATGCACCTACCTCATTGATCGTACCTTTTCCGCAGTACTATTTCCAGCGGCTGTTCTAGAACGTGAGTGCTCTTGGGTGGACCTATAAGTATACGTTGGTTTCCAGACTTTTCGTACTATTTTGGTGATATAATAATAATAGGTATGTTTCTCATCAAATGGAAGCTGCGTCCATATTTGGCACAGATCATATATGCACAGGTGGTACCATGCCCCTGCATTGGCGGTATGCAGTTGTGTGCTTATTATCATCTGTTCTGGTAATGTATGTCTTACAAGTATTGATATTGAGGATATTGTAAACACCGATGCTTGCGCGTGAATTTTTGCTACTTCGCCCGTTGCACGTTATTTGTGCCTTCATTACGTAAATCGCTGTGATATCTTCTACGACCTAAATGTCATAATTGTGTCCAGGTCGAGGTAGCTTCTGAGCTTATTACGAAATGCTTACGCAATCTTACACAACCTGATTGTGATTGGTAGGCGATTCCACAGGGACACAGCTGATTGGAAGTTGAACCGCACGCTTGTCCTGCATCGTGTTATCATCAGGACGAAGTCTTTATTACAATGGTCCCTAGTGGAACGGTACCGCAATCTTGTGGGTAGATTGCAATAGAGGCACCGGCGTGAATCAGATTGTCCAGCGGTATCGAATTACACTTCAGTTTTCGCATCCAAATCGGATCCAGACGGAGTTTCTTTCACCGCTCCCGATATTTCTTGGCAGAATTTTTGACTAATAAGCATCTGGTAAACGACCGTTATGTGTTTTCTTTAGCTCCGTTCCTGCAACGCACTTTCGCGTCTGATTTTTGCTGAGATTAGAAACTTGCGGGTAACGTGACCATTTCGGCCGAAATCGCCTAAGAAATGGATTTAAATTCGATCATTTGGTATTTTTGCTCTCTCAAAGGCGTGTAAGTTTTCCGTTCCCTTTACCTTAAATAAACAACTAAATTGTATATTCTCGTCCTCAACGGGGCACGCTTATGACATCGTGTTCGGGTAGTTAGAAGCATTTTCTAAATGACTAAATAGTTTATTCTCGAAAGCATCGAGGCACGCCTCATTAGGCATGATTTAGTGCGACGACCATGAATGCTCGGAATATGTACAGCAGTGATGTAACTCGATTATTAATTTTGACAAGGCATACATGTTGTTTCATTGTATTATATGATGCCGCATAAAATGTCTATATCAAGATTGATAGGTTTTCTTGAGGATATGAACACAGAAAGCTTGTGAGATAATTTTGGCTAATAGGATGATGGGAACTACACAAGCATAGGATATGCTTAAGTTTTCTTTAAGCACATTGTGAAAATTGCTTTGCTCAGTGCTATTCAGTAGTACAAAGCGTTGGTTTTGGTAATCACATGATATTGGAGCAAGAGAGACGCCTAGAAAAGGGAACTGCAAGAGTAGACTGCAATAAGAAAAACATCGATGATGTAGGTGGAAAATTTAGAAGTGTGTTCAGTTGAATTCTTTTCTCAGTGTACACTTTCTGGTGATGACCTTGTGGTTGGTTTAGACGTGTAGGAGGACGAAAGAAGATAAAGACGGTGAGTGTAGGGGCCTTACCTTTTGTAACATTTGCTCTCTGTTGCAGAATGTTTTCTTAATCATATGAATCCTGGGCCTTATTCGTATCATTGGTTATTTGTTATGTGACATCCCAATAAGTGGATCACGTTTTGCACAGCAAGGTCTTCGCGAAATTCGCGCTCCTAATTGCAAGCACGTATCTAGGATGGTAATTTGTTCCATATTCTGGTATATCAGTTGAGCAAGTTGGCGGATCTGGTGGTCTTCGACCTGTATTCCACTAATGAATTTTCTTCTTTTCGTGTATTGTATTGCTGCCATGTATTTCTTGAAAACCTGCATTTTCTTGTGCAGGACATTAACGAATGCATGAAAACCTACTTAAATTGACAACACAATAGACTGGAACGAAATGTTCAACCTGAAAGTCCTATACAAAACAGCGTACCTTACTTTTCCGTTGTGAATAGAACAGTATAGCATCTGTTTTAACATACACCCTGTTTCAAATGTATATCAAATAAACCCTTACAAAACAGTAAACACAATTCTATCAAATTGTGTTATCATGAAGCAAAACATAGATCAATTAATTTTTTGGGAAGAAACGGCGGACTATTGTCGTTTTCCATCTTTTACCATTAACGTATCTCTCAGTCCAGGCTACACTGCTCAGCATGCTTTGATATTTTTCCGCAGCAAATGACTACATTTGCAATAAGGAATGCTGGACAAAAACTTTCTTTTAGTTTCTATACCGTTTTCACTCAGTTATTCTTCGTAAGGAATTTCTTGTTTGTTCCCGTAGGCGTGTACCGCATTCAGCACCTCTTGAAGAATAACATCTGGGTCTGGCTCATTGTAGATTTCCAAATCATCACCCATTTCAATAACCTTTGAAAATCCATTCCCTAGAATTCTGCCAAGGGAAATAGAATGTTTAGTAACACGACAGTATCTTTGGAAAGTCAATTTGAAGTACACGTTGTGTGGATGGATTGCGACACGCAATCTCAAAGTGGGCCGCGATTCCCATTGAAATGAACCTTGGCCATTCGATCACTAGGACCGTAGCTGATGAAGCAGCAGCAAATTGGGTGTTGCCCGCCTGAAACCAATGCACTCTATGACGCGTTTCGAGGTTATTTCCTCTTATCAGATAGAGATAGCAGGCATCGAACCCTGGACCATTGGGATGTTAGTTGTGACCGCCACCCCTAAGCCACCGGGTCACGACGGGCAAAGCTTGGCACAACGGTTAATGGCAGTATCTTGCTTAAAGGTTTAACCGATTTAAATCTATCTGAAGCGCTTCTTTTTTGTCTCTGGTCGAAATTTGTGCTTAGCGGAACTTATCCAGTGCAACGTACCTAAGACGCTAACAGACGCATTTGATGAAGTTCATTATCAAATCTTTTCAAGTACACATATTGA